TCTTCCTCCCAATTAATTATAATTATACATTATTCTGTAAGGAAAAATTGACGACGGACCGTTGAATTATTAAAAAAGTAATGCTAACTAACCCCCCTATGTGGTCGCGTCCTGTTGTGTATTATTTTTCAATAATTCAACGGCCCGACGTTGATTATTCCGCCTATACTACGGTTACCATACCTCAAAACACTGTTCAGATGATGTATTTCAAGACATTTGTCAGGTTTTTGTTCTTAAAACACTTTTATGTGGGGGACTAATTTCTTATGCATCTCATCCCAAGCCTCCTTAATTCTAAAATGTCAGAGCTAGTAATGGAGGTTTGAACCACAGATAATGCCATAATGCAGTTATTAATGCAGTTATGAGAGAGAGAGAGAAAGAGAGAGAGAGAGAGAGAGAGAGAGAGAGAGAGAGAGAGAGAGAGAGAGAGAGAGAGAGAGAGAGAGAGAGAGAGAGTATGAATTACCTGAGTCACTGTGTCATCTTAACACTGTGCGTGTCCACTTATAGTGAAACTGTAAGTTTATCTGCTCCAAGAACAGCGCTGTTATTACTTCGCTAGTGAGAAATGTCTTGTAGCTTTTAAGTTGTTGAACTATTTTACACATAAAACCGTCAGACAACACGTTTCCTGTGCGAGTGTGTCCATACTGTATGTGCTTTCCTTACATAATAATAAAATGTCATTTTGTGGAAAAAAACATGGAAATGATTTGTCGTTTTTATCCTATAGTTTACTATATTTTATTTGCTTGGTCAGTGTCGTTGTGGGTTTTGATTCTTTTGTTGTTGTAGTCTATAAGGACCTTTGAAATAACTGAAATCATTTGGCGAAGTGATATGGACTGTAATGCGGTCCAGGCCTGACTGGAACTACTTTAGCCGTGCGTTTCCCTGAAAATAATTGCACACCTTGAGTTCAAACATTCAACAGCCCCATTGTAACATGAAATAAATGTGATGTAAAAGAGTTAGACACAAGCCCATTTGGTATTTGATTCCAGGAAGTAGTGCTTACAACACCTCGTTGTTATTGCTCTTTGTGTTGTAAACTGGTTCGTTATGTAAAAAGTGAACAACATTCCTTGATATGAGCAATCATTTGCAAGTGTTTGTGAACAAAACCAGCTCTGGAATTTAAATCAGCCATCAATGCTACTTTTCTAAACATTGGCGTCTCTCCTAATCTGACTGGTGTCAAGACATGCCCTGAAAGCAGTTTTATCTGATTTGTTTGTACATTTTTTAATTTTATTTTATCAGCTTTTTACTGTTGAGGTTTTAATTTATCGTTATTTAAATTACTGCAATTCCCATTATCCTCTGTGCTTTTAGAGATTCCAATACTATATAACTTTTTAATTAAAGGGGTCATATAATGGTACATGCACTTTTACAAGTTGATTGTACTGAAATGTGTGTTGGCAGTGTCTGTACACAACCATCATAAAATGATAAAAATCCATCCAGTGTTTTTGTTTTAATCTCCTTACATGTTTTCCCCTGCCTCAAATTGAGCCGTTCGATTTTGTGACGTCACACGCTCGGAAGCCCCTCCCACGATTGTTGATTGACAGCATCGTTTCAACACAGACCCGACCTCGCTCGTGAGCGAGCTGTCAATCATAGTCTGCGCAGACTGGCGCGGTCATTGTTGATATGCTGGAGCACTGTCTATGAGCAGAATGGCGTCTAAGCGATTGTGGTGGTCTGTTCTTGGGTGCAATAACGAACACAGCAGTCATTTTAATGTTCCTAAATCCGAACCGCTGAAGACGCAGTGGCTGAGTTTGTTTTCGAAGGAAATATTCCCCACGAGCAACGTCAATGCTCTCATGTTTGCGCGAATCATTTCTCACCAGACTGCTTTATAAACAAGGGTAAGTATAAAGCTGGATTTGCTAAGAAGCTGCTCATGAAAAAAGAAACTATTCGTGTTCCTGCTGAACCTCTAGAACAACTGAAGTGAGTGTAACGTTTTATTAAACTTTATATTAATATTTATAATCTTTGCAAATCGCTAGCTGCACGCTTCACAATGAATGCGTCTAAGGTTTACACTCAGGGTACATTACGGCATGTTTTCTATGTATGATGTTCTCAATATAATTCATAATCCCACGTTTATACTGAACAACGCGTTATGGTTATTGTGTTATTGAGTTACAAACGGTGTAGCACAGAACAGAGAGGCGGAGTGAGCAAAGCTCATTATCATTTAAAGTCATATGCACTGAAGCGGCGTGCTGAAAACAGAGCTGTTTTTGACCAGGTAAAATAAGTGTTTTCTAATGAGAATTTTTAATTAAAGTATATTACAAACTTTTAATTTAGACCCTAAAGAATCATACTAGCTTGTACAAAAATGGCATTATATGACCCCTTTAAATCCAGATGAAGTAGTTCTGGCACAAATGTCGTTTGTGTTACTGTAAGTGTAAATTTCTGCAGGAATGTTAGAAATGCTGCCAGACAAAGCATTGTATTTTATCTTCCTTTAAATGAATGCAGGATGTTTGAATCCATTACACTGTGTGTTTCTTAAAAACACTGTGTGTTTCTGGGAAATAACTCTTATGTATGATCACGTTGCAGCTAGGTGATGGTTTTTGCTTGAGGGAGATGCTTTCGAAATGAACTTCAGTTGCGCAACGTTTGCTGTCAATTATGAATGAGTCAAACACCTTGCAAAACATTACCAGACTCGTTTGCTCACTGGTTCTGTTTTTTTAACTTTCATAACGATCACACTGCTTTCATAATTTGCCTAATCGCCTCCAGGTCTGGAAGAGTTTCCAAAGTTTCATTCCAAACAAGACTAACATCTCGCTCATAAACAGACTGAAAGTCAAGACTAGGAGTGTTAAGAGAAAAATGAAACTGATAAGTCCTTTAATGCGTCATGCGTTTAACCTACAAGCATGATAATAATGATCCTGATTAGCAACATTTCAAGGTTCCTCAAGAGACTGGCCACTAAAAACTGAGTCACGCCACAGGACTCAATAATTGTTGACAAAGCTGCATCGGTTTTTCTTTCATTTTTAGGGTAATTGTGTCCTTATTGTTCATTTTGACACACTTCTGTATTTCACAGTTCATTATAAGAAAAAGAAAAAACAACACAGGACAACATTTGACTTTAAATTGATTTAAAAAGAAATAAATAAAATACATATATATGTATAATTAGTATTATACAATTTCAGTGTTCTTTGCTTTTTAGCTAAATGGTCAAAAATATAAGACAAAAAAACAGACTTTTTTTTTTGTTGATAAAAGTAAATTTGACATTTCTGCCCATTTACAACTGATCTGTCCAACCGATGAGTGAATACAGAATGAACTATCCAAAAGTGCATTTTTCTTTTTGTTATATTTGCAATGGAGTGCTAATAAAATCTTTATACTGTCAGCCTTTATTGTCTCCTGATATACAAAGGGTAATCAATTATAAAATTCATAGGTTGTTCCACTTTTGCTACATGTCCTTGAGGTGTGTATCTTTGCACCGTCAGTATGCGTTCACGCTCACACCACACACGTTTCACTCAGCTCAAACTGATCAAATAAAGCCACAACATGTTATAGATGAGCAGAGCTGATGTGATTGGTTGTGTTTAATCAGCCGCTCATGTCAAAGGTTTGCTCTGTTTCAAGAGAGGCTGTTGGCTTGAAAGATACCTCGGCAAAGCATGATGGGTGTTAATGAGTAACTTATTCTGAAATCAGGGAAGATGGTCTTAGCATTTGCAAAACCTCTGACATATGTGTACTCATACTACTGGACTTATTTATTATTAAATTGGTATTAATAGACTGATACATTGGTAACTACTTGGACAACGTTTGGCCTTTTTAAGATTGCCTGTTCTGAATTACTTGTGCAAATTGTGTCGACTGGCTAATTAACAGAAATGGCCTTTTCACTAAATGTCAGATCTTGTCAATTTTTTATATATGTATACACACTTATATATGTATACACACAATCACTATCTTGGACGTTGACGCAATTTTCTTTTAGAAACAAACTTTGTTGTATTATTTTCATGTTATCACTGTGAAGCTGCTTTGATACAATCTGTATTGTAAAAAGCGCTATATAAATAAAGGTCACTTGACTTGACTATCATGAAAAAGTTTGTGGTCAGTAATATTTTTTAAATGTTTTTGAAATACGTCTCTTATGCTCACCAAGGCTGCATTTATTTGATCAAAAATACAGTAAAATTGTAATATTGTGAAATATCATTACAATTTAAAATAACTGTTTTCCATTTGAATATAGTTTCAAATGTAATTTATTTATGTGATGCAAAGCATATACCAGTCTTCAGTGTCACATGATCCTTCAGAAATCATTCTAATATGCTGATTTGATCCGCATTTCTTATTATTATCAATGCTATTTAATATTTTTGTGGAAACTGTGATACTTTTTTTCCAGGATTCTTAACAGAAAGTTCAAAATAACAGCATTTCTTTGAAATTGAAATATTTTTTTAACATTATAAATGTCTTTACTGTCACTTTTGACCACTTCAATGCACCCTTGCTGAATAAGCAGTATTTCTTTTGGAAAAAATCTAACTGACCCCAAACATTTAAAGTTATCTAAACACATACACACACACACACACACAGGTTTTTGACCCTACATTATATTGACATTATATTGACTCTGGATCAGTGCTTCTCAACTGGTGGCTTGCAAATTAGTTAAAATAATACACTAAATAGGATTATACTTCAAAAGGGGGAGACAAAACACTTTAACAAGGGACAATTCTGTTCATTTTTAACAATCTCTAGACATTGGGCATTAAAACTCGACCAACTACTAGAGTAAAGGCTGAGATGAATGCTGACATCAGTGTTTGCTTTGATTCTACCGTAACAGCACAGTTTTACCTTGGGTCAGGTTATCCCGCACTATAAGACGGATGTGCACTGTTGCACTGTCACCATTTACAATCTATCATTAATAAACAATGCAAGACCAGTTGAATCTCTATTGGCAAAGCCACTGAGAACTGAGGAAGAGTTTGTGAAACAATTAAGCACGACAAGGCATGAGATCACAAACAGCTGCAGGTCTGAAAAGCAGCAGAGGACGACCTGAAACAGGCCATTTCTCTAGAGTTGCATTACGATATCTGCTAAAGTCTAGAAATGACTCGAAAGGAAGGGGCGGGGGGATTGGTCAGAGAATCACATCCCCTGCTTTTTCTATCTGAGCGGGCCTGGGCTCTCCTAAAATGGCCGCTATCAGAGCCTCCGGAGCGCTGACTCCGTTCCTAGGAGACGCAGGGCTCCGTGGACTAAGAGGACTGAGGGAGGGCGAGGTTAACGTGTCTGGAGAAACCAGACGCTCTTTCTTGGCATTGGAGGAAGGGTGCGGGGAGGAGCTCCGTGCGGGGCCGTCGCGGGGCCGTGGGCACAGGCTGAGAGACTGCAGGGAGGGAAGGGGCGATGAGGAGAGCGCAGGTACGGCGGGGCTGCGGCTGCGCTGCCGCTTCTGGTGGTTGTGATGCCGTTTGCCGCTGTGGTTTCCAGGGCTGGGGCTACGAGAGATGGGAGCCAACAGGACCAGCGTACTGTCGTCTTCAGAGCTGACATCTGAACTGTCAGAGCGCGAACGACACCCTGGTGCAGGTGGTGTCGACATGGGAAGCTGCACCTGTGAGGAAAATATGCACAGACAATGAAATACAATGAGTATATATATCTGGATGATTTAAATGTTAGAAGTTAAAGGAAGAAAAAAAAGTAAAGTTTTTAAGCCCACATGACCTTCTTTCTTCCACAGAACACAAAAGGAGACTTTTGGAAGACTGTTTTCATGCTCCTTTTAATGCAATTACAATGAAAAGACCCAGATTTATGTTGTTATTCACTAAAAGTATTGACATTTGCCCTAGCTTGATGTGTTCATGAGAGTACACGAGAGAAGAAACAATGTTTGTTCCGTGAACAAGTGAATTTTTTCAGTTTAATCACTTGATCGATCAGTTTACAAAACTGATGTGAATGGTTCACTCACGGTTCATTGCACTGATCTGGTTTAGTTCAAGTTCAACAAACCCACTCAACTGGTTTTGTTTTACTGGATGATTCAGTCGCAGTGGTTTTGCTTTACTTTTGGCCTGTTTCTCACACAGAGAGTTCACATCAGCCTCAAGCCTCTTCTGGTCTCGGTCTAGACTTGGACTCGACTGTGCTGGTCTCGACTACAACACTGGTTCATATGACTTCAGAAGACTTAAAAAAAAAAAAACCTGGTCAATGAACATTTAAAGTGCTTTTGTCCTTGAAAGCTTCACTCTTTATTCATTCAAATGAATGACGAAATCAGCACCATCTTCAAAACTCCCCTGGAGTTCCATTGAAGAAAGAAATTGTCATCAAATCTGGGGTATTCAGAGTTGTGTTTGAGGCACATAGTAGCAAGTAAACTCTTGTCTTGAGTTTCCTGTCAGTGAAATAATGAATGCTTACTACTTCTGGAAAGTCTACACATATTTCAGTTCATTTCTATTCAGTCTATCATTGTGGAATCTTTGATTTTAGATTTAACTGCCCTTAGTAGTTTTTACACGACTGCTTGTGTCAAAATGATTGATGGCCTATTTGATTGACAGGTTGACCTTCCGGTATAGGGGTCAGGGATTAACCTTTGCCCTTGTGCATCATCGATCATGTGTTTTTGACAGCTAGTTTTGACCTATTGACCCTCCCTATTATGTCATTTTGTCAGTTGGTTTTGATCCGGGGTCTGATACGTCATTTTGACATTTAGTTTTGACCTGTTGACCTGGATATGATACGTAATTTTGGTAACACTTTAGAATACGGTTCCTTCGTTAATGAATAACTACACAAGAACCAATGAGTAACACAATATTAACAATCTAGTAACTATTATTAACTAACAAGAAACTCTGATTAACGAATTAGTAAGTAATAGCGCACAGATGAAAGTGCTACTTCACTATTAACTAATCAATAACTACTATTTTTTAATGCTTCCCAGAGAACTACTGAAAAAGTGTATTAATCTAGTAACTACTATTAACTAAAAAGAAACACTTTAGTAAGTAGAAAGTAATTAGTAAGTAATAGCGCACAGATGAAAGTGGTACTTCATACTTCTATGGAAAATACTAATTATTTGGATCCGTATTCTAAAGTGAAGATCATGGGAACTAACTAGTAATGACTCAAGTGTTACTACATGATCTAGTCATGATTTGTGCAACCAAACACAAAAGTCATTTCAAGCATTTGAGATTTTTGGTGAACTTTTAAAAGGGTGAACTAAGTAACTTTTTTACCTTAACCGAACCAGCCCGTTCTCATCCCAAGGCGTCATCTAACTGACGCTTCTGACCATGCGTCAACATGCCGACGCACATGGTACCCCTTAAGCGTCAATATGAGACCCGCCTCCTAGTGGTCTAATCCTAACCCTACCCCAGACCTAAACCTACCCATAACGGAAGCGTCATCTAACTGACGCTAAAGGGTGCCATGTGCGTCGGATTTAGACGCATGGTCAAAAGCGTCAGTTAGATGACGCCTTGGGATGAGAATGTGTTGACCGAACAGCTTTGGAGTCATTGTAATGTTTATATTACTGATTTCGTGTTGAATGGTGGTCGTCTCGCACCCCCCTGGTGCCTGTGAGCCGCAAAACCACCCTTGCAACTTTGGGCCGGCGGGCCGCCGGCCTCAGTGTTAGGAAGTATCGTGTGATATCAGGTCTCGTGAGGTAACGAATCGCTTTACGGCAAAAAACAGATCTGATAAAATTCTGATAAAATGAGCATCAAACAGAAATAACCCGGTGCCGTATACATGTGGTGTTGGAGGCGCACATACAATACAGACTGCCAACAGTTAAACAGGGCGCGCGCAGCTCTTAAAGGGGCCATACCTTATTTCCACTCGTTATAGCGTCCATCCTACTGAACAGGTACCGGTGTACAGGGGGAGGGGATCCGGCCGTGAGTGCGAGCCATCTCTGCGTGAGTGCTATTCACGACAGTACAAGTACTCCACAGCGACTCTAGGGGTCGCTGCTTGACAAAAACAGAATTCCTACTTAGTGCTGCTTTAAATTCTTTAGAAGTATGAAGTAACACTTGAGTCATTGATAGTTAGTTCCCATGATCTTCACTTTAGAATACGGATCCAAATAATTAGTAATTCCCATAGAAGTATGTAGTAACACTTGAGTCACTACCAGTTTGTTACCATGATTCTTACAGTAGTTACTATTGAAAAGCCAATAAAGTGTAGAATCTTCTAATCACTCACAAGATATGCACACACACACACACATATATATGAGCTAGGAGACATACATAAAAACATTTTTTTGGGAGGTAGGTTACATAATAAAATAACTGTATATGGTATTTGGGTGGCTGAAGACTCAATATGTTCCAGTACTCACCACAACTCTAGTGATTCAATGCCAGTCCAGAGGAATGCCGGAAAATTGGCCACAAGACAAGGTCCCGACAACTGCATTTAAAAATCCATTTCCTTAAAATTATTCAGTTGATAAATAGACAGCATAGGCCAATTATTAACAGCTTTCCCAAATCATAAGTCTGCTATGCTATTACAAATTGATAATGTAAACAACCTTGTATCGTTTACATTAGCAGTTAAAATGTTAATGTAGTGCTAGTCATTTGTCCTGCATTGGTTATTGATTAGTTTTGCATGAATTATGAAATTTTTCAGTAGTTCTCTGGGAAGCATTAAAAAAATAGTAGTTATTGATTAGTTAATAGTGAAGTACCACTTTCATCTGTGCGCTATTAGTTCGTTAATCAGAGTTTCTTGTTAGTTAATAATAGTTACTAGATTGTTAATATTGTGTTACTCATTGGTTCTTGTGTAGTTATTCATTAACGAAGGAACCGTATTCCAAAGTGTTACCAATAAATTTAGTACGAACAAAACTTTGGCTCTGGAAAGGCGTTAGCAGACTAACATTACACGATGCACAGAGGTTCATCTGCTCCGTCACCCTATATCCTGAAGCTCAAATTATTGTCAAGTATAACGTATTTCTCTGAAGGTGGTGGGGATCGGAAGGATGTTATAAGCAGCCTATCAATGGGGCTCGGGCTGAGGCATCACAGATTCTAAATGTCTTCATTGTTGCTCTCTCACTAAAGATAGGCCTATGTGATGATTTTCTCACAGATACTAAGAAATTATTTAACATTTCACACAATGTGTGAGATGACTTGTGAGACCCCCAAATTTCAAAGTTCTTTACATGATAAATACAAAATATAGTCATGTTTTTCCACAGACGATCGATGTAGAATATTTGTTTTTATGAATTCATTGAATTTAATTTAAAACATCTTATAAAAGATATATTTTAAACTTTTAAGATTATACTTTGAATATGTTCATTTAAAAGTATATAAATTAAAATAAAATATATGATATATATTCTCACTTTCACTGTCCCACCAATGCACTCAGGAATGAGAAGGGTGGGAGGGTATCATGTGTCACACGCACACACACACACACACACCCACACACTCACCTCTGACTCGGAGACTGTCAAACGCTTGTGAGAGAGAAACACTTTGGGATCTTTTCAACTTTAAACTCATTGCAATTTTGTACCCCATTCATGTATGGACATCTATGTGTTAGGAACTACTTCTTCAAATCTCTAAAAATGTAAGGTGTTTTTTGTTTTGAGATAATTGGTTCAGTAAGATATTTATTTTAAAGAGCAGAATGGTTTTCAACCTTAGTTAGTGTGAAATATTTAATTTATATACTTTTAAAGAACTGAATGGTTTTCAACTTTATATCGTTTTAAAGAGCAGAATGTTTTTTTTTCAACTTAGTGTGAAATATATGATATATATTCTCACTTTCACTGTCCCACCGATTCCCATCTGCTCTGGAATGCTGAGGGAGGGAAGGAGATCCATGCCGTTGCAACATACACGTGCACATACACATCGCGTGACATCGCGGGATCGCGTGACACACATCCTATAACCCTTCTTGACACACATCCTCACACAAAACTAAGTGTCAAAACTATAACATATAATCACCCCGGTCAACAGGTCAAAACTAAATGTGAAAATGACGTATCATACCCCGGATCAAAATCAACTGACAAAATGACATAATAGGGAGGGTCAATAGGTCAAAACTAGCTGTCAAAAACACGGGATCGATGATGCACAAGGGCAAAGCTTAATCCCTGACCCCTATACCGGAAGGTCAACCTGTCAATCAAATAGGCCATCAATCATTTTGACACAAGCAGTCGTGTAAAAACTACTGCCCTGAATCAGCATGTAAAACAAAACAAATTGTAATCAGTCACTTTATATGTCAGTCTAAGTGAGCATTTTTTTTTTACCAGAATAAGCTTTGAAAGACATATCTTACGTTGTGAATATGTTTTACCACAGTGGTTTTGGTTTCGTTCCTACTAATACCAATTTTACTGATAGAACCTCTTTGAAACTGTGGAACATTGTGTTTCACACTGACACTGTGGTACATTTAGTCTTATTTCCATTGTGTGTGCTTTCAATATGTGTCTAACATGTAGTTGGAAATTCAAATGACACAACTGAGTCTGTGTTTGTTATTTGTGGATATCAAGCCTCAAATACAAATCAAGGCCGCAATCAATGTTGACAATGGCGATGTCAGACCGCAATGACCAAATCATCATGCCCTTGGAATAACACACTCATTCAAACCAAACTAATATTTGCATTTGTGTGGAATCAGAATGTAGCTGTGTGAGAGAAGTGTGGACCTGAAATGGTTCTGTCACTCCCACGATGCTGTTCGTGTTGTTACTGTAATATCCCAGAATATATTCCCCCGGGTCTCTAGGCAAATCTTCCTCAGAAAATGTCACCTGAATGTCATGAAAAAACAACAAGTTACAGATAATGCTAGTCAGCACTGGCTACACTATCAATCTACTTTGTTAGTATTAATACTGGTCAGTGATCTTAAAGCTTTCAATCCAAGATTATCCAGGAATGATTTGATTTTGGGATTAAAGCATTGTCCTGTGAACACCGAAAGACGTAAAGGTCAGGGTCAGGTTGCTAATATCTTTCAGATCTCCAGAAAACATCTTACACACACACACAAGTCACGACTAACAATTTTCATGTCCTACCTGCGTCGACTGCTCAGATTTGGCCCAAACATAAGCAGCGTAATCCTTGTGGTGCTTAAATCCCACCTAAAAAAGGCAATTGAAAAGTAAGTATATAAGTATATAAACAATTTATTTTATTTAATATAGAGGTGCAGATTTGACGGATTTATAAATCCGTAATAGTGGACAAATAAAAAAATATTGTAAAAAATGTATGAATAATACCAATGAAATCAAAAGGGTCACATATCTGCAGTGTATCACAGCACAGCACGTGAATAAACACTGGATTTAATATTTCTGTAAAGACAACACGTACATCATGATCAGGTTGCAAGATGAGCAACTTATCAACATCAACCAAAAATCACATGTTCTAGCAATGGTTTAAAGTAAATTGACAGTTAAGTGAAGTAAAAGTGCATTTGTACTCATACACTGGCAGATGAAAACATGAAAATAATTGTAATTATTAGTGTCAGACAAACAACAACTTATGTCATAGTTTTCATGTAATATCCACATTTCTTTCTATTACAAAATCTTCTCGAAAATTCTTGTGTCTGTTGCTTGATGTGGTGCTTTTGTATAAGAGTTGGGTAAAATGAGATTGAATACACCAATTAGGCTAGAAAACTTTTATCAAAATAATTTGTCAATTATTGTGTAAATGATTTTTGCTGTTAAATGTGTAATTTTTTTCTATAATAAAAGTATGCAAAAAAAAAATAGCCTGGATGCCAGCCCGAACCCCGCCCACAACATTTTTTGGTCGGGAAGTTCGGTCTGGACTCGATCCATTGAGGAGTAATTATGATCGGTTCAGAAATCGTCGGGCCAATCAAATTGCCAGGGCGGGCTTTATACGATGATGGACAGATGATCTGCAGTTACGTAATCATCACGTTATCAAAGAGCGCTTGGGTTGAACTGGTTTCCCTCAGAGATGACTGCAGCTGGAGAATTGAGATGTATAGATTCTGCTATCGCGTCTGTTGTAAAAGAAATCGACAGCACATTCATTTTAACTTCTTCCAGCGTGCGTGTAGTTGAGTTCTGTTGACAACTTTGCGTAGCTCATTAAAAAAACACTTACTGCGTTGCTCTGATTGGTTGTAGGTCTATCCAATTGAGTCCAGAGGTTTTTTTTTCCTATGGAGCAGTATCAGACTCACATTCTGATGAATATGAGTATGACGAAGTCAGGCTACAAAAATAACTAAGCGTAGGTTAATTTCCTTGAAAAGTTGAAAGACTGGAAAGCTCTGTTTGTTTGATTTTCCTGACCAGCCCAACACAGCAACACTGGCTCAACCAATGGCGTGAGTTTGAGGGAAGGTCTAACAATTTATTGACCAATAGTAGGCAGGAGGAATGCTTGGGAAAAAGATATCTGAGAAACAGTCATTATTTTAGCAATTTTTTTTGGTGATAGTGGAGCATAAATGAGGTTTAAATTAGGTTATCAGAGTTAATGACACACATTAGAACACCATTGTGATTAATTATTATAATAACATAATGTGGGTAACTGTTCCAAGTAAAAAAAAAAAAGTGGATTAAACATTGTTTTATGTGAAAATGCTATTCATGTATTACCTTGTACAGTCCCACCCAGTCCCATGAACTCCTCTGAAAGCCATGTGCCATTGTGAGTTTTGCTGTAGCATCAGAGAACTTGGTCCATTCTTTCTCCACTTCCAGCGTCACTAATGGTTGGTTCACCTTAAAGGGAAACTGATGGGACAGAAGTGTACTTGTGTAACAAATCTTAGAAAAAATGTAGGTATTACTACTATAATACAACCTTTCTCCCTTTACAGAGGCCTTCAGTAAAAAAAAAAAAAAACAGTGAGGAAATCTATTTAAATTTATTAGCAGTGTGTCTGTGGCCATAAGCAACTGTTCTTAACTCATAAATGTCAGGATAATAAATATCTCGCATGACACTGTACGCCTAAAATACAGGCAGCGCTGCTCACAGACTATCCAGTATCTTTCCCGCCAATTTTAGACTTACATGCAAAGTAAAGAGGGAGGACACTGGCTTGTGATCGCTAATAGTGAAGCCCATGTGACTGCGATAGAAGTGCTGAGAAACTCTGGTGGCGCCGCCCAGCCATGAGGTCAGACCCCTCTGCAGGGCAGAATAATGGGACGGCACGGGGGAGCCCGTCCTGCGCAGACGCCACAGGATGCGATCTGTCCATGCAGGTTTCCTCTTTTTTGCACTAGGAAAGAAAGCCAGGTTTGAACGGGAGGCCAGGGAAACAGAAAGACTCATGAAGAAAAGCATAATTCAATCCTACACCTTGTGTCATAAGTGTGTGTTCCCACATCAAACTTGTAAGTTGGCGGGAATTTCAGTGGGCCTTCTATAAATCCCTCCAGAACGGACTCGCTTTTTTTCGCCATGTTGAGCTGTGACAGACAAAACAAAAAGACAAAATGTTCTTTCACTTAATCTTTTTTTAACAACAACCCAATCTAGCAGACAACACAGAGTTGAATCAAGCCGCTTTGTTTATAGATGTAGTACACTGACCTCTAGTGGTAACAGATTGAAAAATCAGTATTGCCAGGATCTGTACAGAGACACCTGGTGTTTTGTGACTGATAAGGACAATTTTCATTGCTGTGGACTTGAGGCCTGGTTCTAAATTCATTTTATGATTCAAAAGGGTGTTCATGAGTACTATGCGGGCATTTGAGACAGGGCCTCTATTGTCTCCACAAAAAAAGTACACTTTAGCTTACTATCCAAAAGGGTCACCGTGATTTTGCCAAGTAAGACATGTTCAACATTCCTGTCCGAATATTGAGTCCTAACCTAACCCTATTCCAAACCTAACCTTATCCATATCCCTAAAATCAGAGGGAAATGATGAGGGTTAATAACACTGATGTAGAAACACCTGACCCTGGTTTTGAGCCCAAACTGATATAAGCTAGCCTGGTTAAAACCAGACTGTTCTCAGTTGTAACTGAGTTATGGTCTGGCAAAGCGTCATAGACAAATCATTTCCAGAGGGTCGTCACCAACGGACGTCGCGGATAGACCTAAAACCAATCAGAGCAATGAAGGAGATGACGTATGCAGAGCGGCGGAGAAACATCCCCGTGTGTTGTTCTTTGCTCGGTTTTTAACTAAAAGGAAACGTTCAAATCGCTTAAACGCGATAGCTGATTCGAACGAGTGATGTTCAACGGCGGCATCCATAGGCAACAAAATAGCGCTGTCGTCATCGTGTAAAGCCCGCCCCAACGTTTCTGATTGGTGCCTCGATTTCGGCGGATTGGAAATGGGCTTGAATGAGCTCTTTGCCAGACTAACTTTCAGAGCAAATCTAAATTTGCCGGAAGTTGTCTGGGTTTTCCCAGGCTAGATATAAGCAGTAAACTCCATCAAATCTGATTGGTTGATTGGAATGTTGTTGACAAAGATGTTGATCCAGGAACATTATGTACTTGGTAAAATCACGTTCACCAAGAAGAAAGTCAGTACTTACTATGAAAATATTATACTTTTGAATAATATACTTAAGTGTAAACTGAATGTAATGTTTTACAACACTTTTTGCAAGTTATTTACAATTAAATGAAAATGTATTATAGTTTACATTTACATTTAATACAATTAGCTGAACTTTAGAGTGCTTTTTTGACCCACTTAAATAGGACTTATCTTTATATGTAATTTCATAATTACTTTAATTGTCTATTGTCTATTAAACTACCCGTGTGCATTCAATACAATTAAACACACTTCTTTTTGATTTTTTTTGCTCTCTTACCTGATCTTTTTCCCACAGTAGAGGCAGTTTGTCATTCTCAATTGCACTTTTCACCACGTGAATATCATAACCTTCGATTCGGAAGTTCAGATCACCAAACCAGAACACCACACTGTGAAAGAATGCAATCATTTCCAGTGAACCCAACAGGTCAAAGTTCATCTGTATAAAGCCACTCAGCTTAATGCTCAAATAAAGATAAAAATGACAGTTTGTATAAACCAACAACATGTGCAAAGGTTATGCAATGGTTTAATAAAAAGGAATCACATAATAAAATAATTTTAAATGATTATTTCATATCCAATTATTTATTTATATGATAATTAGCTTTGTGGCAGTGTTTCAGAGATGATTTTGTGATGATAACTGGCACATTATATGAAAGATTATTTAAAGCAATACTATGTAACTTTTTTGATAAAAAAACGAGAGTGCAAAAAGGCATCCTCCAAACCATGTCTTTACCGAAATACCCTTTTATAATACAGATTTATATTTTAGAGTTGTCGGGACAGATTTCGCAGAGAAACTGTACACATGCATAATTTGCATATACGTACACAGGGAAAAGTAGCCTCAACAAGAAAAATCAAAGATGGATCATTCAAAACAGCAAACCTCATGAATCACTGGTTTTAAAAACAAAGAAATTATTATTATTTCATTTGTCCATATCCATGTGTACACTAGTGCCTCAAACCACATTCAGAGTTGAAGCACAACCAAAACAATGTTCTACAGCAAGACAGGGCCAAAAAAGTTACATAGTATAGCTTTAAAAGTACATAAGTAAGGCTAGGCATCAAGCATCTGCTTTTTTCCCAAGTACCCACTCGTGATCCAGCACGCCCACGGCGGTGCCGCCCTCAAACTGCTGCTGCTGAAGGATGCTTTCAAAGTCCTCCATCCGCTGCTCGAGGTTTCGCATGTGAGCCGGCAGGTGGCAGTTGAGAAAGCAAACAGGATGTCCGAAAACCATCATACGTGTACTCACGCCCCCTTTATTCCCCTGAGACAAACAAATAGAGGTGGAGGATAATGGAAGACATTAATAAAACAGCAGCTCTCCACAGTAAAGTGTTTGTCCTAATTGTGAAAGAAAAAAACAACATTATTACAGAAATTATTCACTCACCCTCATGTTGATCCAAACTATTATGCGGTTAATTTTTATCTTCACGCAGCTCTTTTCTTAATAATAACACTTCATAATGACCTGCTGTCAAACTGTAATGTAGAACAAACACCATCAAATTTTGGTTGGTTTCTCACAAAAAGTATTTTATGGCTTCTGATGTCTCATTCGTGAACATACTGGGATTAATCTTGTTTGTTAACTTAAACTTTAAAAGAATGTTTTTGGTCATTTTGGTAATTAATTTGCTAAAATAAATTAAAATATTGATATTAGATGAAAAACAAACTGGAAAAAAAACACGTAGAAATGAAATAAAATTAGTTTGAGTAAAAGTACTAACATTACTAAAGCTAAAACAGAAATAAAAATTAAAACTATCCAGAAAAAAAAAAAAAAAAATAAACGCACATAACGAAATTACTAAACCTCAACTGAAAATTCAATTTGGCATGATTCAGTCTCACATTTAAAAAAAATGTAACAATTTTATTTTTTTAATACTTTATGTTTTTATTTAGATATTGTTGTCTTTTTATAGCTTGATAAAAAGTTATGCCATGCAGTTTGCAAAATGGAGCAAAATGTATAGATCAGCTTTGTTGTATCTATTGTAACTTGGAAAATGCTGATGATGCTCAAACACACTTTCTGGAGCCTTTAAGTAGATTTGTAGACATGTGCATTTAGTTTAGTTTAGTTTATTTATTTATAAAGCACATTTAAAAACAACACCAAAGTGCTGAAACCAAAGTGCTGTACAACAAATATAAAACAAACTTAAAACATACTAAATTAAGAAAACCAAAAGGACACATGAAAAATGTTACACCCTCAACCAGAATTAAAACATAACGAATAAAAATGGGTCTTCAAAGAGGATTTAAACAGAGGGGGAAGATCATATATGGAGGGGAAGACTGTTCCAGAGTCTAGGACCAACCACAGCAAAAGCCTGGTCGCCTTTAGTTTTAAAATGTGAACGAGGGACTGAGAGAAGAAATTGAATAGATGACCGAAGAGATCTGGAGGTATTATGGTATTATAATAGGTATTATAGGTATTACTTTGACTTTCATCTTTTTCAGTCTTTCATTCGTGAAAGATTCTGTTACTTAATTGTTGAGTAAATGATTCAACGACTCATTCATAACACTGGCTTGTCGCCATCTACTGGGGAACAATTGAACCTGCTGCAAGGAGTTACTGAACGAATAGCTCAGCAAATCTTTTGGTGAACAGATTCAAAAGTCACTAAAATGAATCAAAACCCCACCACTGCGTTTTTATCTGCCTATTTGTCTGTTTTGGAGCTTGACAGAAGCGATCACTCTGAACTGTCGTTGGAACAACATGAGGATGAGTAAATGAGCACATTTTCCTTTGTGAGTGAACTATCTCTTAAACACTGAGCTGAAAAGGCAGGTGTGTTGGTCAGTCAAGGGTGAAATGATGGGCTGTGGAGAGACATGCAGTTTATTATCAGCGCTGGTGCTGCAGTTCCCATGGGTTGGGCTCTCTCTTTCTGGGTAACGCCCTGGGGAGAACTGAGAGCTGCTGTGTGTGTGTTCAGTCTGTATTTGATCAAGCACAGATGAACCTGATGTGTGTGTTTATGCAGTGTAAGACATATCAGAATCAGAGCTGCTGCGTGTCCTACTGTGCCCTACTCAAGGGAGACTGCAGAATGAGCCTGAAGCCATGCTGACAACAACACACAGCAGGGTCACACGTACACACACACACTCACTGCCACATACACAAAAACACACTCGCAGCCTAATTTCCACGGTCTCTCTTTGGCTCTGCTTTTCCTGTAATCATCAAAGACATCGCACGGCTGGGGGTCGCAACATTATGCAGATGTTTGATGTTCGACATTAAAGTATTAATGCATCACAACAATCACTGATCACATTCATGTTTATAAATTATTTCCCAGAGGTCTTTGCTCACTTGACTCACCCAGTAGCCGCCCAGGCCAGTGCGTGTGCTTTGGGTTTGTACTCCCCTGAGGAAGGGAAGGTGACAGAATTTGGAAAACACCAGTAAGAAAACCCCCTGCATCCTCTGAGACGCCACCTAGAGGAATATAAAGACATTTCAAGTTAATGTACTACGGCAAACATCACTATTTCAATTTGAACAAACCTCTAAAGCCCAAAGTATACATCAGTTTTTATGCATGCGCTTGGGTATGCCTACAGTCAAAGACTTTAGATATATCAAGATGGTGCACTCATATTACTATGAATGTAAGCAGTAAGCACCCACACGCTAGAAAGTTTCAAGTGTGTCCAGTGTCTCCTCTATTTCTCTCCAGAAGTTATCACTGATAACTTGCTTGTTTAAACCAGAGTTGCATATATCTTTTAACACCTCACCCAAGTGCTCGTCAATGCGAGTGCCTATTGTTTTAGTTTGTTGTTGTTATTCCATCTCATCCATGCTTCTGCTACAGCCATTAGATACACAGACATGCAGCTGTGAGCATTAAAGATATGCTGCTTCTGCATGATTAAGCATTCATTAATCCTGGTGCAGATCTAGGAAGGTGGAGCTGGGGGAGGTGGAGGGTTTCAGAGGAACTGCAGGACTAGACTACTGCAAACACTGAACTAGACTCTTTAAATGTTGAGCAAGCAATGTCATTGACTGCGGAATCAGCAAAGGCCAATCAGCTTGTGCCATGTGGTAATGATGAGATACCTTGCAAATTGCATGTAAGAGATTCATGACTGAACTAGATATTTGATTTCATACTGACCAACACATATCCAAAACGACTGAGTGTGTCCATGCAGAGGTCACTCCACTGGTCTGTGAAGAGAGCGTCTTTAAGCCGCTTGTTTATCATGGAGTTTACTTCCTGTAGTCTAAAGAGAGAGAAAAGGACAGAAGCAGAGAGAAAGAAAGACAGAGGAGAATAAGACAGGTAGAAGAATACCTTTAAAACAAGGACAAACAGGGCGAGATGACAAAATGGACATGGAAATGAGAAAACCCACAAAGGATGCAGAGGAAAGTTAATTATTAAAGTTAATTATAATAATTCATCAACAACAATGGAGCGTATGTAAGAAAACAGCACTATGCAGCACTTCAGACATTCTCACCCAACAACAAACATGTCAGTGCTCCCATTTTCAACGCCGGGCCCAAACAGGGATGTGATGTCATCAGGTGGTATACTGGAGCCAACATTCCACGTGACAATATGCACTCTAAAGGGAATAAAGCATACTGTACCTTTAATGTACATTTTAAAATAAATTACATTAATTACTTGCTGTAAACTTCCTACATTGGCAGCTATCTTCTAAGGAAGCTTTCCAACTGAAATGGAATGAATATGAATGAATGGAACTCATAAATGATTTGAAATGCTCTTCATAGGCAGCAATCACACACACACACACACACACACACTACAAATAGTGAATAACAAATAACAATATGCTAATTGCAATATATAAAGTAAATAATATTTCAGTAACCATATTATAAAAATAATAGATAAAACTGATAAAAAAAAATATATAACACATAAATATTAGATATACTGTATATACATATACTACATATATATATATATACACTCTCCTAAAGGATTATTAGGAACACCTGTTCAATTTCTCATTAATGCAATTATCTAATCAACCAATCACATGGCAGTTGCTTCAATGCATTTAGGGGTGTGGTCCTGGTCAAGACAATCTCCTGAACTCCAAACTGAATGTCAGAATGGGAAAGAAAGGTGATTTAAGCAATTTTGAGCGTGGCATGGTTGTTGGTGCCAGACGGGCCGGTCTGAGTATTTCACAATCTGCTCAGTTACTGGGATTTTCACGCACAACCATTTCTAGGGTTTACAAAGAATGGCGTGAAAAGGTAAAACATCCAGTATGCGGCAGTCCTGTGGGCGAAAATCCCTTGTTGATGCTAGAGGTCAGAGGAGAATTGGCCGACTGATTCAAGCTGATAGAAGAGCAACTTTGACTGAAATAACCACTCGTTACAACCGAGGTATGCAGCAAAGCATTTGTGAACACGCACAACCTTGAGGCGGATGGGCTACAACAGCAGAAGACCCCACCGGGTACCACTCATCTCCACTACAAATAGGAAAAAGAGGCTACAATTTGCAAGAGCTCACCAAAATTGGACAGTTGAAGTCTGGAAAATGGTGGCTGGTCTGATGAGTCTCGATTTCTATTGAGACATTCAGATGGTAGAGTCAGAATTTGGCGTAAACAGAATGAGAACATGGATCCATCATGCCTTGTGCAGGCTGGTGGTGGTGGTGTAATGGTGTGGGGGATGTTTTCTTGGCACACTTTAGGCCCCTTAGTGCCAATTGGGCATCGTTTAAATGCCACGGCCTACCTGAGCATTGTTTCTGACCATGTCCATCCCTTTATGGCCACCATGTACCCATCCTCTGATGGCTACTTCCAGCAGGATAATGCACCATGTCACAAAGCTCGAATCATTTCAAATTGGTTTCTTGAACATGACAACGAGTTCCCTGTACTAAAATGGCCCCCACAGTCACCAGATCTCAACCCAATAGAGCATCTTTGGGATGTGGTGGAACGGGAGCTTCGTGCCCTGGATGTGCATCCCACAAATCTCCATCAACTGCAAGATGCTATCCTATCAAAATGGGCCAACATTTCTAAAGAATGCTTTCAGCACCTTGTTGAATCAATGCCACGTAGAATTAAGGCAGTTCTAAAGGCGAAAGGGGGTCAAACACAGTATTAGTATGGTGTTCTTAATAATCCTTTAGGTGAGTGTATATATATGTGTGTGTGTGTGTTGATACACTAGGTTTTGGATCGGAGCTATAATTTCTAATCAATGGTCATATTCTCCTTTACATTACATCATGGTATTATGAGTCATCATAATTACTCAAATCAAAAAGCCTGTGATAAATGTCACCTGCTGTATTTAATAGCTTCCAAAACATGCTGAACGCTTTTAACTAATTAGAGCACATGCATGATGAGTAAACAGCAAGGGCTCTGTCTGTATTGTCAAAGATGACAGGCTAAAGGATCCAGGAACACATTTGTGTGTCTAGGAATGCTGCCAGCTCAACGCTCCTGTGTCCATTCTGTCACCAGGCTCTGAGAGAAATATTATGCTGATTTAAGAGATGAGAAAGTCTTAGCTCTGCTAGCATGCTGCCATTCCATTAGCCGATTTCTCAGCATTTAAGTTAATGGTTAATGTCCCTCTCTCTGACCACATGACATGTAGGAAGTTTGAAATCTGAGGCTGTTAATGGGGTGGACTTTCATGGGATTGCCAGTGACCAATGAGCTTCTCCATGAGCTGAAGAAATGATTGTCCCATTCTGATCTAGACTTTTCCCTCAGCAAACAGAGCCTTAAACAGTCAGATTCTCTCCCCTCAGGCCAGAGGATATAAGCAAACACAGACGAAACCCAATCACAGAGACTGCAGTCAAATCATAACACCAGATCTGAGAGATATTAAAGCAACATCACACTCGCAAGAGTGAATCAATTAATGAATCAGCATGTTTGAACAAATTAGTTGAATGAAAGATTCAATGGATCACTCATAAAGATGGCCACTTTTTTATGCCCGAATGACCAGTGTTTTAGAACAAATTGGTTTAATGAAGGATTCAACGACGCATGAAGACGCTCACTCGTTTCATTCCTGAATGAATCAATGTTTTTAAACCAACTGACTGAATAAACGATTCAATGACTCACTCGGAAAGACTGCCACTTTTTTCGTTCCTGAATTAATCAACATTTTTAAATGAGTAAATTTAATAAATAATTGAATGACTTACTCACTCATAAAGACAGGCAATTGTTTAGTTTCTGAATGAATCAACATTTTTATTCACTAACTGTTGTATAAATATGGACAAGTATGTAACGTCTCACCTGAAATCACCCTCTTCGCTGATGGTCTTGCTCAACTTCTTGTCAGTAGTGTCTCCTGCGTTGGGTACATGTGTTTCTGGACTCAGGACTGGTTGAGGAATGTGGTTAGACAGAGGATTGGGGTTTGGGTTGGGGACTGGTCTGGCGATTAGATTATTGTGTGTGTTTGCACGGATGGGCTGTGATGGAGGGCTTGGAAGTGTTGGGGGAATGGATAGGGGGTTGAAACTGAGTTGAGAAGAGGGACTCAGTGGGTTTGGGGGGTTGCAATAAGGCAATGGTGATTCAGTCGGGCTGTGCGACAAGAAGTTGGGCGTTCCTGTAGCTTTAACCTGCAAAGAAGGCTCGGTGGGTTTGGAGACTTTGATTGTTGCCTTGGTCCCCAGAGCCGTAGGCCTGGGTCGACTGATGCTGATACAATTTGTGGATTGTGCGGTAGAGTCTAGTCTGACTCTCTCCTGAATGGCTGGATTTGTCCGCAGTGCCTGGGTCTGTCCCAACACTGGTGGGTTTCCAGTCATGACCATCTGGCAGTGTGAGGATACAGGCAGTTTGCAGGGGTTTCCAAGCAGGGCTGGGACTGGTGGTTTGTGGAGTCCTAAAACTCCAGTGGGTCCTTCTGACATAGGGCAGCTCTGAATGGGCTGCATTGGATCCATTTACCTGGAGAGACGATACAGAGAGCCATTGAGCTTTTATATGAACTTTCACTTATAATGTTAGTATGATTTTTACATAAAAAATTGTCATAAATTAGAATTAAAAGGGCGTTTTCTACCTTGATTTAAGTCCTCTGATTTGAACGCTCTGTTTTAAAGGTACAATATGTAAGAATTTTGTAATAAAATATCCAAAAATCACTCGCACAGTGTGATATATTTCCTGAAGTTGTGTACTTACAATATCCCAAAAGTCTCCAAAAAATTTTTATTTCAGAGAAATTCAAATTTTAAATAAGTGGCCGTCCCGGAAAGAAATGTCGCCTGTCAATGACGCAATATCCGCGCTATCCTCGGTTTCCGTTCATACTGCCATAGCCATGACGTAACCATGGCGACAGACGTGGAAAACTCCGTAGTGCGTAACGTTTAGCGGCACGCAGTTCCTGTTTCTTTCAAACATAGACCATGGCAAGCAGACTTTGGGACAAACAAGGAGAACTAAAATGAGGATCAATATCAGCGTGGCGTTTTTGAGATGCCGAGAGCTCCACGTCCGCGACTAACTTGGACTTGACAGAGCTTCACGAGTCACGACTTGACAGCTTTATTAGACAGGTGAGCAAATGTACATAAAACAAATAAAAAAATCGTACATATTGTGCCTTTAAGGGCGTGTCTGCTGTGACTTAAGAGTAAATGCCCACTTCTGTGATTTGCTGACATCTTTGCAAATGAAATAAGTATTACATGTCGAACTCTCTTGAAAACTTAACTACATTTTTACTATTACAGCTGTCGAGATTAACTAATCATGAAAAGTGTTGATTATAGCATTATATTTAGATATTTAGAACTAAATATATGTATATATATATATATATATATAGATTGCATTAAAGGTTGCAGCGATGAGCATTGTAGCCGATGACAGACATGAATGCAGTGATCTCGTCATTGCAATTTGATTTCTGCACTCTAACGAATACTTTCGTCATCACGAACAGTTCCAACACATAAGAGACCCATGGTGTAGATTCACAGTGTAGACAGCATCATTGATTATAACAGAAGTTTTAGCGAGAGTCCAGAGTCCACTCGTAACTTATAAACTCACAATTTAATCACAAGTTTAATAACAGGTTATTTTTATGCTCCTAAGAGAAACAATGTTAAGTTGACAGTTTAGTCACTGGCTTGATTTAGTGACACACAAACAGCAATAAATGGTATTGAGACAAAGAACGTCTGACTGTACATGATATATACACTATATATCAGAAATCACTGATCACAGATTAGGCATTAAAATTAACCAGGAAACATGTTGTGGCATTACTGTCAGGTCCACATCTTAAAAGTCTGTTTGCAATGCCTGCGCCGAAATTAGGACTGATTTAACAAAAAATCCACAGTGAATTGTACCAGACAAATAAAGAATGCTCTACTGAGTCATTCACATAGTTGAAAATAAATAACCACATTCCTAGCATTAGGATCCTTTGGAAGGTAATGTTATTTTTAGTCCAGTGATCCTGTGTCGCTCTTCTCTCCTCATCGTCTCACTAACACGCCAGTGGGCGGGGGCAAAGACGCGATGATGTATAAGTAGGCGTTGATCTGATTCTGCGGAGGCGTTCTTTCTTCGGTTTTACATCATGTGACAAAATCCGAAACTAGTCATTTTTATGAGCTTGGTTTATATAAAAGCTGTTTTTGAACTAACAAGGAGGTTTTGAGCTCTGAAACTTACAGGATGTTTTTAATAGTACAATGACCTCATCTAATTCATGACCCCTTTAATATCGGTACATTTTTGGAGAATTGCACCACATGACATTTTACCACCTGAAATACCAAATCTGATATTTTAAGTGACTTATTGACCTTGACACACAGGGTCTGCAGGGGTCCTCTCTGTGATATCATTTTTGTATCATTTACGTTGTTTTCCTCCTTGTTTATATGTTGGTCACGGCACATGACTTTGACACAAGTTGTTTTCTTTCTTATAACGATTACACCAAACTACTTAATAAGGTTTGCTTTTTAAGAATTTCATTCTTTTAATGGGACTTTTTTCTTTGTTATCAAGACTGTATCACTTTGGCTGTTTAATTAATAGATTTGGACAAAATGAACCACTGACTCAAACCGCAAATGCTGTTCAAAGAGCTTAACTTCTACTGAACCCGGAACATGCATTTAATAACGGTAAGGGTGACCAAACCAGAAAATAGATGCTGTGAATGCAGAGTAAGATGAGAGTCCTGGGTTTGTGTGTCCTTCACACTCCTCTGCTTTCTCCCATGGTCAAAGACAGAGACCGTTTCTGTCTGCAGTGGATGGATCAGTGTGTGAAGAGATTTGGACAGTAGCCAGGGCTGAACGTCCCCACTACCTGTCCCCTCTCGCTCTCTGTTTTTTTCCTGGGACGTCACTGCTGACATCAATGAACTACAATCAGCTAAGATCAATCCTTTTCCTCAAATGACAACTATATACCCTCCCCGCTGTCCTGATCTACTTTCCTGTTGCTTGGCAACAACTTTCTGTCCCAACACCCCCCCATCTCCAAACATTTCCATTCTTACCTTTTAACATTCCAGTATATTTCCTTTAATAAACAGGATTCTGATCGATAATGTTTGAAGAAAGTGCTGGGGATAATGGCCATCACATAGCATTAGCAATGACGCCTCTGTCTCCATCTGTTGCAGACTAATAGCTCAGAGCTTTTACTCATTGGTGTCTTGGGACAGATCTTTGTTGAAAAAGACAGAATGCTATCTCAAGTACGATTTACATCTTAGAAAATGCTATATATAGTTTAGCAAAGTCTAAAAATGCAGATATACAATAAAACACAGAACAATTCATTTTCAAAATTACAAACTGGGCAAAGCTTTGGAGCTGAAATGTTTATGGCTGATTTATTCTATGCAAATCATAATTCTAATGTTTGGAATGCAACACATTGCTATGCAATACAAATGTGAGGTGAAATGTCACATATGGATAAGGAAAATATATGAATTATATGGGTTTTTTTATATATGTATTTTCATGGTAAGTATTCAAATGCACATTAATGTACTCTACAACAATCAAGTGTTATAGATAGTACTAGTACCGGTTATTAATAAATAAAAAAAATCCCACAGTTCAGTGCAGTAAGGTAATAATATAAAAGCTAACCTGATCACAGTATTTAGTGCACAATAATAGGATGGCATCAAGAAAATAGGTCATCATTAAAAATGTATATTGATGTCAATAATTAGTGACATCAGACTTCAGTGGAGAGATACATTCACAAAAATGTAACCATAGGAAGCAACAACAACATGACACATTTGTCCAAGTAGACACACAAGGTGTCAACTCATTTTATAAAGGAGGCCGGGGCTAGTTGTCACACATGTTTAAATATTTTCATTACAAAATCTGTTGGTTGGTGGTATTTTTGTATGTTAACTTTGACACTTTTGCTGTTGTTTTGTGCTTCCTTATTATTTGTATTTTTTCAGAAAAGCCTATGTGACAACATGCTCTGCTTTTGGAGCCACAAAAGGTCATTAAAAAGCTTATAACAAATGTCACACCTGGACATTTTTCACCTTATGAGCTAAACAAGGTCATGTGCTCTGGTGGGTTTTAAAGATCTATAAATATACTTCTGTTTATATATAATTTTAGTAATTGTATTTGAACCCCAAATTTCAAATACAATTTTAAATAGAGTTTTAAATGGTGTCCCTCATTTTAAGTACTTCCTATTAAGAACTTGTATGCAAAATGCATATATGCAAAATTAGTTGGTCATTTTGTCAACACATTAAAAATGTTTGTTTGATGGTAGTGACAACTTAGTTTGAAACCATCCTGTAGGCCTACTTTCCATTCATTAATTTTGGTGAATGTACAGTATTTTTCATTATAATAGTGTGCTCATTGTTTTTGTATCAGATAATTTTGACTGATATTCAATGATAGGCAAGAAAAAATGGAAAAAAGAAAAAGCAGGAAATTTAACCCAAACTGAATATACTGAACAGACACAAAATAATTATTATGTGCTAATTATAGGCTATTTTAAATTTAATTTGGTTTTGTCACAAGAACCAGTGAGTAGACAACTCATTGGTCGCAAGAATAATAATATTTATAAATATCATAGAGCACGCTGGACATCAAATAAAATATCGAGTATAATATTAATAATCGTAATTTCCGCCAGCCACGCGCCTAACCGATATTATGAACAAGGTCATATGTCCTCTCGTGACAATTAAGAGTCAGCAGCACGCGCTGCGTATGAGATAATTTACCGTTTGACACGCTGATGGGATGGACATTTTATGTTATGGAAATGACGAGAAATGAACGCGAATCTATTTGACAGACGAGCTGGTTAGATATTTTCAAAGTTGTTTGTCTGACGACACTTGTTTTTACGCTGCAGTGTCTCGAGGTGAAGGATGTCACGCGCATCTCTCGCGCTGAGCGTCACGGTAAGACACTATCTCCAATCATTTTTAATCACAATTAAGTTGTCTGTTTTTAATCTCGAAAGAATTCTTACCTGTCCTGTTTCTCTCCACCGGCGCAAATGTGTGTGTCCTGTAGAGACGCTCACATCACCCACACACACACACTTCCACTGACTGTGTGATAATGAATGATGTGGAGCGGATACGTCAGTACCAAGAGGACACGAGGAGGAAAGGTAGCGAAAACTGAGAGTGAAACATCTCCAGCAGAGTCAGACACTTGACTAGTAGTGACAAATATTGGACCTAAAATGACGTAAGGCGACGTAAAATCAGCCGCATCGCCGTGCGCGGAATAGAAATGTCCAGCTGGCACGCGCGGGCTCTCACACGTGGGGTCAGGACTGGATCTATCATCCACACAACTCATCAGAACTTCCCTCACACTCCAATTAATAATGATTGTGATGTCTAAGGTCGGGTAATTTTACTACATAGCCTACTATTATAGGGCCCTATAATACATATCTAATATAGGCTAATATTGGATTAAACTCACAGATAAATGTCACCACAAAATCAAAATGGACAATTCTTCTTGGTTTTTATGGAATATTGCAGCAATTATTATAAATTGTTTATCTATGTGCAGGCGGGACAACCTGTCACTCAAGTATCAGTATCATCAGTATCACATAAAATCGACCAATACCAATATCCAACCATCAAATCAATTCCCCATGGACAAAATCAAGTCCCTCCAAAATTTCACTTGTCCGAGAAGCCATTTCACGTGGATATAGGCTACTTACATCACAAATTTCACAATACATTTCCACAATAAAGCGAAGAACATACTTCAACTTCCGTTTCATATTAGGCTAATCCCTAGTGAAAAAAGTATACTTTATTGTATTTGAAATATATTCCCGTTTTCAATAGTAGGCTACATTGCAAATTGTACTTTAGTATATTTTAGAAAAATATATTTTAGAAAAATATACTTGAAGTGAACATTCTGTTGTTGTTGTTTTTTTAAAGTTTATTTATTTGCACTTTATTTAAAATATATCAATAGGTATATTTTAACTGTGCTGGAAATGATCATTGTAACAATGCATTGAAAGTATACTTTCAAAATACATTATAGTGTAGTGACCCACAAGGAAGTCTGAAAGAGACATTCACCAAGGGACTGTACCTTTAAGGAAGGGGGGGTTAGACGATGACGAGTTCCGGTTTTTGACGTTGTGTTTATGTTTTGATATCACTCGCTGTACTTGTGATAGAAATATTGAAGTGGATAGTAAAGTTGACTCGACGCATCTCCGTCTCTTTTCTCCTCACTTACTGTACTCCACATTGGTGACCCCTGACGCGAGTTGAACACGGCTGAATTATGTCACACAACGACGGTGGTGAAAACACTGTGGCCGCGGCGCCGGCTGCTGCTAGCGGCGCGGCTAATGTCGGCGCTATCTACGCAGCCACCATCAAGTTACCGGACTTTTGGCAACACAATCCACGGCCGTGGTTTCAGCACATCGAGGCACAGTTCCAGCTGAGAGGAATAACACAGGACGTTACAAAGTATTTCCACGTAGTAGCGGCCTTGGATGCCTCGACGACGGCCAGGGCTATGGCGCTGTTAGAGGCTCCTCCAGCTGACGGCAAGTACGACGCACTTAAAACGTTCCTGTTGAGCCTCTTTGAACTGTCAGAACTGGAGAAGGCAGACCGCCTGCTGTCCCTGAACGGCCTTGGCGACAGCAAGCCGTCCGAGTTAATGGAGAGGATGCTGGCCGTGCTGGGCGCGGCGGATCCCTCGTTCCTTTTCGCCCACATATTCCTGCGGCAGCTTCCAGCACCCATGCGCACCGCACTGGCTAGTTCTCCCCTCCCTTCCTCCAGAGACTACCGAGCACTGGCTGTGGAGGCAGACAGGATATTCCTCGCCAACCGACAGCAGTTTGTCCATGCACTGCTGCCCACCCAGCACACGTCTGTTCCACCCTCGGAGGACGACCCAGACACTGCAGCTGCTGTGACGGCCCGCCGACAGCGTGAGTACGGGTGGTGTTATTACCATTCCAGGTTTGGGGCAAAAGCCAAGCAGTGTCGTCAGCCTTGCAGTTTCGGAGCCCAGGGAAAAGCCAGGGCCGGCGCTCATTAGCAGCTATGGGCGCTGGCCGTGACTGCAAGCTGTTATTCATCACTGACACCTTGTCCGGCCGGCGGCTGCTGGTCGATTCTGGGGCTCAGCGCAGCATCCTGCCGGCGCAGCCTGTGGACACCATGGCTGGCGGGCACGGCCCCCCGATGGACGGCGCTAACGGCACACCCATTCGTACCTATGGCACGAGGCATGTGGAAGTGTGTTTCGGCGGACGGCGTTTCGGCTGGGACTTCGTCATGGCTGCTGTGTCTACGTCGCTCCTGGGGGCGGATTTTCTCTGCGCTTATAGACTGTTGGTGGATGTTACAAACTGCCGCCTGATCGACGCCCTCTCTTTTGCTTCGTACCCCTGCACGCTGGGAGGGACAGGGGCGCTTTGTCTGTCGAACACGCTGACCAACGGGGACCTGTATCAACGCCTACTTGCTGAGTTCCCTGACATCACCACACCCACGTTTTCATCGGCGGTGGCTAAGCATGGCGTGGAGCACTACATCACCACGGTGGGCCCCCCAGTCTACGCACGACCCCGGCGCCTCGACTCTGCCAAGCTCGCTATCGCCAGGGAGGAGTTCGCCACCATGGAGCACCTCGGCATCGTGCGCCGCTCCAACAGCCCGTGGGCGTCCCCCCTGCACATGGTGACCAAGGCTGATGGCGTCCCTGTGGAGATTTCCGTCGCCTGAACGACGCCACCACACCCGACCGGTACCCAGTGCCGCACATCCAGGACTTTTCCGCCCACCTAGCCGGTGCCACCATTTTCTCAAAGGTGGACCTGGTGCGCGGTTACCACCAGGTGCCTGTCCACCCGCAGGATGTCCCCAAAACTGCAGTCATCACACCCTTTCGCCTTTTCGAATTCCTACGGATGCCTTTCGGCCTCAAGGGGGCAGCGCAGACGTTTCAGCGCCTCATGGACTCGGTGCTGCGAGATATGCCGTTCATGTTTGTTTACTTGGACGACATTCTCGTGGCCAGCGCGTCCGCAGACGACCACCGGACGCATCTCCGGCAGTTGTTCGGCCGGCTCAGTGAGCATGGCCTCATCATCAACCCGGCCAAGTGCGAGTTTGGCCGGTCATCCATCACTTTCCTCGGCCACCACGTCACCCCACAGGGGGCAGTTCCCCTCCCTGCCAAGGTGGAGGCTGTCGCCAGTTTTCCACGCCCACGCACTGTGAAGTCCCTGCAGGAGTTCCTGGGCATGGTGAACTTCTACAACCGTTTCCTCCCCCGTGCGGCCCAGCTCATGCGTCCATTGTACTACGCTTTGCGGGGTAGGAGACCGGCGGACGTGTTGGCTTGGTCCCCAGAGATGGCTGATGCGTTTGATGCTGCCAAAACTGCGCTGGCCAACGCTGCTCTGCTGGCGCACCCGTCTCCAACCGCCCCAGTTGCTCTTACTACGGACGCCTCTGATTACGCCGTGGGGGCTGTGTGTGAGCAGTGGGTGAGCGGAGCCTGGAAGCCGCTGGCCTTTTTCAGCAGGAAGCTCCGGGACAATGAGAGGAAGTACAGCGCCTTCGACAGGGAGCTCCTGGGTCTTTTCCTTGCCACCCGTCAGTTCCGTTTCCTGTTGAAGGGTCGGCGGTTCACGGCTTTCGTTGACCACAAGCCGCTGACGTTTGCTATGGCCAAGTCTACGGAGCCATGGTCTGGTCGACAGCAGCGTCAGCTCTCAGCCATCTCCGAGTTTACCACTGACATTCAGCACGTGGCTGGCAAGGACAATTTCGTCGCCGACTGCCTCTCCCGGGCGGTCGCTGGTTCCGTCCACTTGGGCCTCGACTATGCGGCTATGGCTGCGGATCAAATGGCGGACTCTGAGGTGCAAGCCTACAGGACGGCCCCCACGGCGCTGCTCATGGAAGATGTGATGTTTGACACGGCCAACGCTACACTCCTCTGCGACGTCTCCACTGGCCAACCTCGCCCCATGGTACCTGCTGGCTGGAGGCATAAAGTTTTTAATGCCATCCATGGTCTTTCCCACCCGGGGGTGAAGGCCTCTACCAAGCTGGTGGGGGCCAAGTTCGTCTGGCCGGGACTGCGGAGGGACATCAGGGCCTGGGCTGCGGCCTGTGTGGCGTGCCAGCGCGCAAAGGTGACTCGTCATACCATGGCTCCTTTGGCACCCTTCAAAGTGCCAGAGAGACGTTTTGATCATGTGAATGTGGACCTGGTAGGCCCACTTCCCCCCTCCCGTGGTTACACCTACCTCCTCATCATGGTGGACAGGACCACCAGGTGGCCAGAAGTAGTTCCCCTGTCCTCCACTACATCAGCGGAAGTGGCCCGGGCGTTCATTATGGCTTGGGTGGCTCGTTTTGGCACACCGTCCGACCTCTCCTCGGACCGGGGTCCGCAGTTCACATCGGAGCTTTGGTCTGCGGTCGCCGAGGTCCTTGGGGTGAAGGTCCACCGTACCACAGCCTATAACCCACAGAGCAACGGATTGTGCGAGCGGTTTCATCGTGACATGAAGGCCGCGCTCAGGGCCAGCCTTACGGGCAGCGACTGGGCTGACCGCCTCCCATGGGTTATGCTTGGCCTTCGCTCCGCCCCTAAGGAAGATCTTCAAGCCTCATCGACCGAGCTGGTGTATGGCCAGCCTCTGCGTGTTCCGGGGGAGTTTCTTCCAGATGCCATGGCCCCGTGGTCAGTTGCCTCACATCGGGCTGCGTCTCGGGACATTGCAGATGCTTTTGTTCCTATTCCAACGTCTCACCATGGCCTTCCCCGGTCCTATGTGCCCAAGGATTTACCATCAGCCAAGTATGTCTTCATCCGCCATGATGGCCATCGGACACCGCTGCAGCCCCCATACGATGAGCCCTTCCGTGTCCTGGTGGGGGGGTCTAAGAACTTTGTGGTGGATATGGGCGGCAGGCCTGAGCGGGTGGCTATTGACCGTCTCAAGCCTGCTCATGTGGTTATTGGCGAACCGCTTCAGCTGGCCCTGCCCCCACGGCGAGGGCGCCCACCTGCGGCAACCGCGACCCCTGCCCC